TATATATTATATATATATATATATATATATATATATATATATATATATGTATATGTGTGTGTGTGTGTGTATATGTTGTACCTAGTAGCCAGAACCCAGTACTCGGCCTACTATGTAGGACTAGATTTGCTTAATAAGCCAAGTTTTCCTGAACTTAAATTTTTTCAATTATTTTTTATTATGAAATGATAAAACTATCCATTTCATTATGTATAAGTTAAAAAAAATTAATTTGAGTTAAATCTAACGTAGATATCTGACCAAACCTAACCAACCTTATTTAACCTAACCGAACCTATCTTAACCTAACCTAAACTAACATAACTAAATCAATAAGTTATGTTCCTAATATAATATAATAGTAATAATTCAAATAATCCAACTGGAATTTTTTTGTGGAAAAAGAAGAAAATCACTCGGCCTATTTGGCAAATCGGGCCTTGCTTAGTTGGCCGAGAAGTACGTTCTGGATACTAGGTACGACATAAATATATATACTAGCTGTACCCGGCCACGCGTTGTTGTGGCTCAACAACGCGCAACAACAACCTTCCCAAGGGCTTGCTGGGGCTTCCTATGGAGCTCCAGCATCCTTACCCTCTCTCCCAGTCCTCCCCCATCATTCCCTCTTCCCCCGCCCCCTCGTTCTCGCAACCATTCCTCACTCCCCCGTCCCCTCGTCCTCCCCCATCAATCCCCTCCTTCCTCATCCCATTGTCTTCCCTACCATCCCCCACTCCATCGTCCCTTCGTCCTTCCCCTTTCCCATCTCCCACTCCCCCCGTCTCCTCGTCCAACCAACCATCCCTAACTCCCCCTGTTCTCTCGTCCTCCCCACCATTACCCCCTCTTTTGTCCCCTCGTTTTCCCCACCATCCCCCACTCCAGTTCTCTCGTCCTCCCCACCATTCCCACCACTCTCCGATGCATTCCCAAATAATCTGATGCTCCCATCAGAAAATTGGTAACATCTAATGATCTGATGTTCCCATCATTGAAATATAAGAAAAATAGTTAAAAAACCGAAATAAAAACAATGAAAAATATAAAAAATAGACTATACTCACGAAATAAACGGTATGGTAAACAACACAGCTCAATACCACCGCAATGTCACACAAAATAATGAAATAAAAATAAAATAAATCGAAATCCATGTAATTCAATTTGTCAATGCAATCGGAAACATTGAAATGTAATCGTAACATATTTAGTATAGTATGTGTTGCTCTTACATGCAATAGATCATGCTGTTTCTTAAAAAAAAAAAATATGGACGGTACGAAATGGACGGTATGGTAAACAACAGTTATCTTGAGTTATCTTGAGATAATTTCGGGACTTAGCGTCCCCGCGGCCCGGTCCTAGACCAAGCCTCCATTATATTACATACCCCAGGAAGCAGCCCATAGCTGTCTACCTACCAGGTACCTATTTACTGTTAGGTAAACAGGTGCAATAGGGTATAAGAAACTCTTCCCATTGGTTTACGCCTGCACAAAGGAGGCGGGTCAAACCCGGAACCTGAGGAGTACGAAACCGAAGCGCTGTCCACTCATCTGTCAGGCCCCTTACACAGCTCAATTCCAACGCCATATGTCGCACAAAATAAATATATCAAAACGAAAAAAATCGAAGTCTATGAAAATTCAATTTATCAATGCAATCGGAATCATTGAAATGGAATCGTAACATATTTAGTATAGCGTGTGCTGCTATTACGTGCAACAGATGGCGCTGGTTTAAAAAACAACAACATGTTTTTAACTATCACAGGTGTGGCATCTATATAGAAGGAATATAAAACCACGCGCCTATTTGAATTCAACGTTGTGATAAAATTTCAAAGTATTCGGTAAAAAAGTTTCGAAGATTTCCCCCACGTGAAAAACACAGTTATATAAAAACATGTTTTCTCCCGTCACATACGTGACATCTATATATAATGTTTATAAAAACCCGCTCGGATGCGAATGGAACGTTGTTTGAAAATTTCAAAGCATTCGGTGAAGAACTTTCGGAGATTAGCGATTTGAACAAACGAACATTTCCATTTTGATATGAGCTTTCTTGATATGAGCTTCAGGGGACAGGTCTGGCGTGATATCAACCCCCAGGTCTTTCTCTCTCTCTGACTCTTGAAGTATTTCATCTTCCAAATGATATCTTGTATCTGGTCTCCTGCTCCCTACATCTATCTTCATTACATTACATTTGCTTGGGTTAAACTCTAACAACCATTTGTTCGACCATTCCTGCAGCTTGTTCAGGTCTTCTTGAAGCCTCAAGCTGTCCTCTTCTGTTTTAATTCTTCTCATAATTTTGGCATCGTCAGCAAACATTGAGAGGAATGAGTCTATACCCTTTGGGAGATCATTTACGTATATCAGAAACAGGATAGGTCCGAGTACAGAGCCCTGTGGGAAACATTGGTGACTTCACGCCAATCTAAGGTTTCACCCCTCACTGTAACTCTTTGCTTCCTATTGCTTAGGTGTTCCTTTATCCACTGAAGTACTTTACCAGTTACTCCTGCCTGTCTCTCCAGCTTATGTACCAGCCTCTTATGTGGGACTGTGACAAAGGCTTTCTGACAGTCCAAAAAAATGCAGTCCGCCCAGCCTTCTCGTTCCTGTTTAATCTATGTCACCTGATCGTAAAATTCTATTAAGCCAGTAAGGCAAGACTTACCCTCCCTGAACCCATGTTGATGGGTTGTCACGAAGTCCCTTCTCTCCAGATGTATTACTAGATTTTTTCTCACGATCTTCTCGTGTGTATGTGTGTGTGTGTGTGTGTGTGTGTGTGTGTGTGTGTGTGTGTGTGTGTGTGTGTGTGTGTGTGTGTGTGTGTGTGTGTGTGTGAATTATTAAAAGATATGGGTTTACACCTCTGGTTGTGTTTGTAGGGACCCTCGGCCTCGAAGAAGAGGATATGTACCATCTTGGGGGAGCTTTGTGCGTCTCTCACGTACACTCACGCATTGTCTCACTCCTACCACTCCCTATATATTTGTAATTTGTCATTTGTTATGATTATATACAGATTAATTATATTATTTCACGAACCATCGGAAATTTGAATTCGGACCTTACAGTCCCACACTGTAGCAACCAGGCCATAGGGGTGTAATACAGCTTATTACAGCCATAATACAGTCTATTACAGCCATAATACAGCCTAAGATACCTAACAAGTGCTCAACTAAGACTTTAAATCTTCCCTACAGTACTACTATGGTATCTGCGCAGAACTACTGTTTTTTGTTTTCAGGCCTGAATTTGAATATGCACCCAACATTCACACACCATGACTCACCACGTACTCATCACTCATTCCCTAATACTCATTCCCCGCAGCCGGCACGTTCGGGCCTGAACGAAGTGGAGCTTCTAGACGTCCAAAGTTCCTCTACAGGGACCTACAGATGTGAGGTCGTGGCGGAAGCTCCCACCTTCAACACCCACGTCATGTCTGCCAACATGACCATTGTAGGTGAGTCAAGGCTCATGTTGTGACCATGAACCTATCTGCCACACACAGCATGGAGGTGCTATAGTGCGTTCTGACATGCGCTGCCTCATATGAACAACTAATATGTCTGCCACACACAGCATGGAGGTGCTATAGTGCGTTCTGACATGCGTGTCCTCTTATAATCAACTAATATGTCTGCCACATAGACATGTAGGTGGTGCAACTACTAGCGTAAACAACTATGGAATAATCAACGTTCTGGTATAGGTAAATGTCAACATAACAATTACTGTTAAGTTAGGGAAGTAGACATTTTTCTGTAAATAAATATTCCTGTGAGAATAAATAGTAAACGTCAGACTTGCCACTTCTGGAGAGCATTCGAGAGTGCCAATGGCAGCAGAGAGAGAGGGAAAAATTGCCAACATGAACCAGTACGGATATGTCAGGGGTGCCAACATGTAAACGTAAGCATTGGTTTACTGGCCAATTACAGGCAATTCTGGGTAGCCAACAATACTCTCATACCTGAATTAATAAACACCAACGTGACCAAGCTTATTATTTTTTGATATCTTTTGTAGGGAACCGACCTGTGAGATTTATATTTATTTATTTAATTTATATGAATTTATATTTACGTTAATTTATATACTTCGATAGCAATTTGTATAATGATAAGTGGACTGTATTTCTGCAATAATCTCATAATCTCACAAATCGATCCTCTACACATTAGGGGGGGGTTTATTAAATTAATATATATGCAGCCAATCAAACTACAGAATTAACTACATACATTGAAGAGGTTCCTTATCTTATAGTACAGCAGGTTAGTCCACCAGGTATAACTAGGGTGTAGACACCAAATTATCCTCTTTGAGGTAGCTTCCATATCACCCAGTAACTGGTGCACAAAATCTTGCTTCCTCGTCTTGACCTGTCAAAAGTGCGCTAGCTGTGAAGCCAGAATCCTATATATGACAAGTATATCAGAGAAAACACTGTACATGGAACAATAAAGACCTGGCTTAATTACCTTTAGTTTGAGGCGATTTCGCGTTCTAACCGGCTAACCCTACCCAATGACATTAATGGCCACTAATGATAGATAATGGGTTTCGGAAAGAACACTTAACTTGAATTTGTTGACAGCGTGTTGAAAATGGTACACCTTTGGCTTCCATAACACTACGTCCAAGTAAAATTAACAGGAGCCGAATTTGCTCCCGTGTGAGCCTCTGGTCTAGTATAAACAATGGCTGTTTAACACTCCATACTATTGACGTTACTGGCCGACATTGTCCAGATATGATAGGAGCCGAATTTACTCCACACGTCTCGGAGGTGACACAACAATGGCTGCCCTCCTTCCTCCCCTCTGACGCCTGGCTTACATTGTCCAGATTTCAGAAAGTGATAGAAGGGTCACATTTACTCTACTTTAATATTGATAATTAAGTTAATTTATATAAGATGTTTTTATGATGGTAAAGTCCAAAGACTAATGTATTTAAGAATAATTCCCACCATAATAGGTGGTGAATTATAATAGTATGTGGTGATGATATCCCGTTTTCTTTAGACGGTAATTCCACTACAAGTTACGTTTTCTATGGGTAACTTGTTTATACAACACAGCTATTATCTGTTTGTATAATATATTAAATGGTGTCGGATTTTCCGACATAATTCCCCAGGGGGCTGCTCACGGGTCGAAGTCCTCTTTAGAACAGACGAACACCGATACTCCTCCTTCGAATTATTAGATTAATTTGATGTTAGTAGTTAGTAATCACACATTTGTGCGTCTGTTCGTACAGGACGGATGTCCCGTACTAGAGTTGTAGGGGTTAGAAGTCTAATGCAATTTCATTTCCCTGTCAACTCTTGAAAGGCTAATATTCAAGCCTAATTACTTATTATTTAACCCAGAAGACTGAATGTGATCAAGTACTACAGTCAAGTATGATTCAGGGACTGCAGTGAGATCAGTGACATTAGATATAACTTGAAGCTTGTTCAGGTAACTAGTCACTGATATATAAACACTGAGGCCCAAGGAATACATCTTGATTAAATAATAAATGTATCAAATCAGTCATCAGATTTATTGGGGTTTAATTTAGTTAATTGATTCAGAAGATTGAATAGCTCATCATTAAAGTAAAGTATGGTTCTGAGACTGCAGTGGGATCAGTGACATTGGTCGCAGTGACTTGTAGCTGTTTTAGGCTACTGTTCACTGATTTGCCACTGAAGCCTCATGAACTCATCTTCAGCTTTAAATGATGATACTAACATCAACCTCTGTTACTATAGTCAGCTGTAATCTCCTTAGTATAATGCTACTGGAGAAATATAATCAGCTGACAAATTTAGATTTCTATTGGTATTGTTTATCTGCAGGCATAGGTCTCCTCAGGCTTGATACTGGGCCTGAGAGTAATTTACCTCCTGCAGAGTTTAACATGGTTATGCCCTGATATTTAGTAGGGCTACCGATGAATCGATGACAATAGTCTGTCCCTACAAGGAGACCGAAGTCGGTGAGGTGATCAGACTTAATATTATCTGCCAATTTTATTCCTCTATTTCTCAGGAATTTGGCTGTTGCTCTCAGACCTCGAACTTGTAGGTCTACTGGTATTTTGTCCACCACAATGGCTTGTACTCGACAGACGTACCTGCCTAAGCGTACTGATGGTTGTACCACCTGGTAGACTTGAGGTCCTGCATCTGTTACAAACCCTGAGATGTTGAATGACATCTGGGCTACAGGCCTTAATTGTAGTTCATCTGCCAACTTTTTAGTGATATATGTTCTTTGGGATCCTTGGTCAAACAACCCACGGGTATGGACCTTGGCCCTCTTATTCAGGATGGTAATTTGGGCAGTAGGCAAAGTCGTATTGCCTTTAGACTTTGCCGAATGGACACTCTTTGTTTGTTGCACCTTGCAGTACTGTACTGTGGTGGGAATGCTATCTTCCACCTTGGGTCTTGAATACGTTAATTTCGTATATTTGCACAGTGCTGCATGGTGCCTACCTCTTCTACACCTGTTGCAGGTGTTGAATTGGGTATCACAATAGTCTATGTTGTGTGACTTGAGACACCTTGCACATCTCCCTAATTCCTGGAGTCGCTCCATACGAGTGTCTCTGGTTGGATAATTAGCACAACAGTATGTTGAATGTTTCTTTTTGCAGAACATACATGTCCCCCAGCCTACTGCACGTTTGGAAGTTACCGGTTTGGGTGAACTAGTAACAGTAGGCTTGGAGGATGCTGCTGCATTGTCAGATTTTCTGCAAATTGATGTTTGAGTAATTGACTGATGTTTATTTGGGGTAGTTGTTTTACCCTTTAATTGACTCTTATTTTCTATTTCTGAAGGCTTGCAAGAGGCTTTAACTTCCTCATTTGCTCGTCGTTTGTTTATGATGGAATGTAAACCTTCAGTGATGTCCTGTACTGTCAGGATGGTGTTATGTTGATGTGCATATAATTCATCTAGTATATCGCTGGACAATTTTCGTTGAAGGACTACTTTGGTCATCCATTCACTAGTAGTTATATCAACCTTAAGACTGAATATTCTTAGTAGTGACTCAAACTCCATGCTGAAGGATTGTAATGAGTCAGCAGTCTGATCAGGTTGAGGTAAATCCAGCAATTGTAGTACTAGATGTATGACAGTTTTCTCATTGCCAGCATTATCCATACTAGCTAGTTGGTGAAGCCTTGTGGGGCTTGTACTTGGGCTGCTCATAATACTGAACAAGCACTGATGGTAGCCTAGGGTCAAATTCTGCACTCACTAGGCAATAATCCTACCTCTACTAGAGGTTAGCACTTAAAATTAATACACATTATATATATACAATCATACACACTAATGATTTGAGTGATAAACCAGTGTCATGGAAGTACCTTTAGGTTAGCTCTTCTATATCACCCTAGGATGGTAGAGACACTAATTAATCACTCAAAGGTGTAATGATCATAAGTAAATTATTATATATACACAACTCAACTCGAGTTGATAAAAATTACACCCAAAATAGGGTCTGGACCATTCATTAATGGTGTTAAGTTGTTGAATATAGTACAACTGACTATGGTAATAATGGGACTAGGATGAGCAATAATAGTTCAACTAGTCATATCCTACCCTGTTGTGGGTTGGCAATTAGTAAATATTATACTGTGATCACTAGTGCAATATATATTAAATAATTCTCTATTTTGGAGAAATAATATACACAATTATTGATAATAGCCTCTTAATTAGCCTCTATGAAACTTCTAATATTATCTAGAAGTATTAAATATTATTAGTGACCTCGCGAAATAAACTCCACAAATTCGTAGATAATCTCTCGAGGACACAGCCACTAATTTGGCTGGCTTCAATATTAGCGCTGTCATTTCACGAAATAACACGCCACCAAATTCTGTGGGTGTGCATGAAACCGCTGATGAGGCTGAACTCAGTTGAGGGGGGCTCCTGAGCTCCCACGAGGCTTCGCCGCTGTCTTTGACTGGCTGGCCTTGTTTAAATAACACTGCACTAGTATATTTAATGAATCCACTGGTTAACTGGTTCATCCGGTACTAAGATGACCAAATGTGGGTTCAAAGGACCGAATATTCCGGTTCCGAAGGTCCAAATAATGTGGGAACCGACCTGTGAGATTTATATTTATTTAATTTATATGAATTTATATTTACGTTAATTTATATACTTCGATAGCAATTTGTATAATGATAAGTGGACTGTATTTCTGCAATAATCTCATAATCTCACAAATCGATCCTCTACACATTAGGGGGGGGTTTATTAAATTAATATATATGCAGCCAATCAAACTACAGAATTAACTACATACATTGAAGAGGTTCCTTATCTTATAGTACAGCAGGCTAGTCCACCAGGTATAACTAGGGTGTAGACACCAAATTATCCTCTTTGAGGTAGCTTCCATATCACCCAGTAACTGGTGCACAAAATC